GTAACAAAACTTGGATAAAAAACATAGTATAAAGACATGTAACATTTTCAAGAAAATTAAGGAAATAACATGGCACCTAGAGACGGAGTGATACATGTCAACAAAATCACCAGAGAAAGCAAGCAAATTACAATAGTGTTCTTCGTCATCTTTAGTTATCTATATAGTCTTATTTTTGTAGAGACAATGAGTTTGAGATGAAATGAGAGTTGAGACCTCTTTTATAGTTGTTTGGAAAATGATATATATAATATTGATTATTCGAATTTGAATTGATTTAAGAGGGTGTCCTTAATTGAGATTGTGATAGATTTTAAAAGTCATTCTAAATTTAAGTGTATTTAATTAATATTTTATTGGATTTTAATAAAATCATTTAACATTTAGGTATCCTTAATAATTAGTGGATTTATAAAGATTTCATTAATAGAAGGATTTTAAAAAAATTGGATGGATTTCAAGTTTAAAAATACATATAAGCAAATCTTTTGAAATTTCACCATATTTGATAAGATTCTTATGGAATTTGTAAGAATCTATTCAAATCCACAAAATTTATTAGAATTTATAATTCTTTAAAATTCATTAAAATCTTAGTTCAAAACACCTCGTAACAATAAAGTGATATTGGAGCAATGAATTACTTATCAGGAGACTAATTAATTGTAGCCATCCAAATTATTAATAATGTTGACTCAATTTAATACGACAACTAGGATCTAGATTGCAATAATTTTGGGTACTAACGCTAATCTAAAATACATTAAAAGTGTGGGTTGAGGAAAAATTTTTGAATACCAATTTTAACATTATATATTTAGCTATACGTTAATTCTACCCTTATATATTTAATATAGTACCATTAAATATAATTTAACTTCATTTAGTGGGGTGTATTCAATTAGGAATTTTGAAAATTTTGATGGATTTTTTTAAAGTAATGACCTGTGCGATTTTCGTGGATTTTTTTTATAGATTCATATGGGATTAATGGAAGTCTTTCATTTTAAAACTTTTATAGACTTTTCTAGAATTCAAATATTTTTTAAAGACTTTTATTTGAAATAGAATTCACGTAGATCTAATACAATAGTATGAGATTCTTACATACGAGGTGTTGATTCCTACAATTCTCCTTCTTCTTCCCCTTCCCCTT